AGGGAGGGGCGTGTTCAGTGTACAAAGCATCTTGGAAGCATACCTATCACCAGAGACGCAGGGGAGCTGCAACCATGGTGAAAATGCTTTTCGCAGAAAAATCCTTTCAGAGACGATGGTATGGGGGCAGGAACTGAGGTAAAACAGCTACAGTGGCCTACCTCATAGGGTTATTAAGAGATAAGATGGCAAGTGACGTGGGTGCACACACCTGGGACCCCGGCACTCAGGATGCTGAGGCAGGAAGACTGTGAGTTCAAGGCTAGTCTGGGCTGCACAGTGACTTTGAGGCCAGCATGGGCTACATCGCCAGACTGCATCTTCCTTACCCTCAACGAGGAAAAAACAAGAAAAGAAAATTAGGCCGTGCTCAATCCCAGCTCAGTTACCATTAGACTGTGGGGTCCTATGAGTTTTAAACCTGCTGAGTCTCAGCGTCCTCACCAGGAAATGAGAGTAATGGTGTCTGCCCCACAGGGTGCTACGGGTTAACAGAGCAGCCGGCGCTGCACCTGGCACACAGTGTGCCCTCCGCACCAGTGACAGCATCTTGTGAAGAAATTCTAGCCCAGCAGCCCCAGAGTAAGTGCTCCATAAGCTTGGGCGGCCAGCGCTGGCACCACCACCATGGCTGGCATCGGCCGGCGCCGGCATCACCGTCTTAATGGATGACAACAGAGATGGTACTCACAGTCTCTTCTTATCCACCACTCGTTTAACTCGGATGGCTCTTTGTTCTGAGTAAAGCTTGCACACTCCTGTTGAGGGAGGAAACAGAGATCCTTTAAAATGCCTTCTCAAGCAACAGTATTACGAACTCTGAGACACTACAGCCTTCAGCAAGCAAAGCTACGTTCTAAACTGCACCTCTTATGAAATGCACATTTGACCTTCAAGAGAAAATGAAATACTTTTTAGGTAATCTTCAATGAAGTCCAAAACGGCGGTCCTGTGCTCCTTCACTTGCTGGGAATGGATGTCCTTGTGGGCTGTAAGAAAGAAGGACAGCACTCAGACTCAAGCTCAAGGGCTCGCAGAACCTCAGCATTCTCAGCGTAGCTGGGATTGAAAGCATCGTGAAAGCACAGCTATAAAACACGTCCCGTGTGAAGCGAGACATTTTTAAGAGTAAGGCTTCTTAGGCTTTACCAGGTGAAGGGTTAAACACATAGGAAACTGCAGTCAAATAACTTATGGTTTACCACAGCACTGAGGGAGCAGAGTTGGTACAGGTCTTTTCCTGTGCGCTAACTGGTATTAGCAGCATCCACTGTTCATGCTGACTTTCAAGCCACATGCTTAAATCATACGTGTGGGATCATACACTCCCACTGCTTGTGCTGCTTTTCAGCTGGGCGTCCCGCTTTCTCCTCCTCCCCTTAGACACTCCCCTTACTCTGTGGGAACTGTTCAGGATGCTGAGCCTCAAGGAGGTCCTTCTGGCATGAACCACCACATAGAAGCTGATTTTTTAAAAAAACGTTTACAAGTCCCGAAGCCTGTGCTGCTTCCTATGTGTGACACTGCCATGTGTGGGCTTCCAGAGGGCAGGCAGGCTGCTTCGACTGCACACGGCTACTACAAAGAAGCCACACGGTTTTCAGACTGTGGCTGCTCCTTGCCTGGAGACTGAGGTTCCTAGCATAAGCAGCCTAAGGTCACGTGAATGCCTATGTGCTTAAGGTAGGGGTAGGGACTAAGTCTGTAGCACAGGGTTGCATGACTTGACAGTCACAATGGGATTCGGGGACCCTGAAACAATGCACACGGAATTTTGTATGACGCATGTTTTTCGGGCAAGAACACCTGCAGCTTTCACCAGACTCTTCCAGAGGCCCATCAATTAGAGTCCTTCGAGAAGCTTCCCCAGCAGAAGTCCCTGCCATGAGCACAACACCACCTAGCAACTCTGACCTCTGCAGTACCACTGAATGCACTTAGGAATCGAGAGGGACACGACTGGGAAAGCACCTCAGCTCCTCAGTGGGAGTGAAACCCAACAAAGGGAGACGGTGCTGCCTCCTCGTGAAGGCAGGCTCTGAGCGTGCCACAGTGAGCCCAGGAGACATGGCTATAGGCCTTCCTCCTAACCATGAGGTCTCACGTGGAAGCTGACTCTGATAGGACAAGTAGATCTCAGAGAAGTTTCTTCCATCCTTAGCCACATGCCACCCACCCTTGACTCAGAACGTAGACATACACAATCAGTCTCCTCTGACCTTGGCCTCTTGTTTGGAGAGGGCCTTTCCACTCCTGCCTCCCATGCATTTAACCTGAATGACAATCTTTCCAGGACTTTGAGCAGCACTGGTTAAAATACTCGGGAAGGAGGGACTGTAAGGCTTGACACCTTGAATCTCATTAAAAACGTAAGAGGAGTTGTAAGTGGCTGCACCACGAGTCTTGCTGAACTGCTTGGTGCATTTGTGGTATACATTTTTCAAACACTTTACCTTCTGTTCTGAGTTGCTGAATTGCTTCTGAACAGGTCCTCATGAATATCTGAGCATCCTGGTCAATCTGGTCTCGCTCTGCATCTGTCATCCTCCCGTACTCAGACATGACATGGCTTGGAAGAAAGGAGAAGAGGGGAGGGTGGTGTGAGCTGAAGCAAGGTGGTCTGGGTAGAGTGTGAAGGAGAGGTCTCCCCGAGACTTGGGGAAGGGCTTGCTAGGCCAACAGGTGGGAGAACCATCTTGAATGGAGCAGAAGCCGAGGGAGGTGCAGTCTCCTGAACAGCTCCAACAGAAGCAGGCCGATCTAAGGACGGCAACATGCAGCTATTAGGAATGGAGACTTGGCTCAGAACACAGGCAGCTCCTGCAGGCCACACAATCCATCCAGTGACTGCATTAGATTCACACTGGCTGTTCACACTACATGCTGCTGGGACACGATCTGGGGGCTTCTGAAATATGAGAAACTGCTGTGGCCTGCCTTTTTTTTTTTTTTGCTGATGAGCAGTTTTGAAAACTCCCACAAAAAAGTCCTTTAGAAGTAAATTTCATCTCCCTTGATGTTAAGTTAGACCACCCTAAAGTCACCAGGCTAGTCAGGGCATTCACTTTCAGTAACATAGCACCCTGCAGCTCAAAATACCTTGATTCACCTTCATGAGGGCTGGGGGTGTGGCAGATACTTGGCAAGAGTAAGGCTGCTTTGCCTAATGAAATGCTGCAGACTTCACAGCTGGAATGCAGAGCCACAACACTGCAAGCTGAAGGGCTCCATGGCCAGGGTTCCTTATTCCCACCTCGCTCACCACTGCTACTCACCAAAGGAAACTCCGTGGCACCCTATTCTGACCTATGAACCCACCCCAGCCACTCCTTCCCTCACCCACTTCATTCCAGAGGTTGTGAGACTATCCACTCCAAAGATAATGCCCCATCTTCACCTTCCCACTGTGACATGGAGTGGGCCCAGCTCTGACCTGCACTGCCGCAGCACGACTGCCTGCTTGACTTCCTTAATGCATTTCCTGTCCCTGAAGTGCTGGGTATTTATCTCTCTCCTCCCAAGCTGAGTCCAAGTAGGGACCATGGTTCACCTCTGCTTCCCCAGTATCTAAAATGGTGCACAGCACACAGTACCTGCTTCACACCAGTCCTGTGTACACACCAGATGCCATCCTGGTGCTTTGTATGCATGTTGCTTACCTATCTAACCCTCACAAATCATTCGTTCACTCATGCATGAACCGAACCCTCGTATGTATGCAGTGGGCTGGGGCTGGGGGTTCCGAGTTGAATAAGGCTCATTTTTGGTCTCCACAGCAGGTACTGAGCTGCAGAGTGATTGACAGGGAAGCAGAGAACAAGGAACTGAGGTACATGGTGATGATGTGGCAGTGGACAGTAGGGCCAGGGTGGAGAGTGGTCAGCTCATGCAGGGCACTGGGTGCTGGACAGGGCAGGAAAGGGATGGTGTTGTGGGAAATCTTGTGACTGATTTTGCCTTTTGCCTTACATACCCATCATGCTGGAATGCAGTGCTTCCTGTTTCTTATCAGAGAGAAAACTATGTAAGTCACATGGTTTCCAGGAATCTGAAACTTAGAGAAGCTGAAACTTATCATGCTAATAGGGCATCTGGCCCGCTAGAGTGTAATAGGATACTAGCCTGCCATGCTAATAAGGGATCCCATATGCTGTGTTAAGATTGGACTATTACCCCTATATAAGCCCGTACTTTCCTGCAATAAAGCAGATCTGTGTCACTGAACCTGGTCTCCTATGTCTGAATGCAGCGACACTGGCACAGACTCCTCACCAGCCCTGGGATCCAGACCGGATGACTGATGGGAGAAACTGAGAGAGCAGGAGAGCAGCCATAGCCGGAGGAGAGCAGCCACAGCTGGCGACCACAGGACGGTACTTCTAACAGAGGACTGTGATGAAGACCAGCTACAATCCCTACCCTACACTGCAACTTGAGACGCTGGAAAGGCAAGAACAAATGAAACCCAAACCCAGCAGAAGAGAAGAAATAGCAAAAATCAGAGCAAAAATTAATGAAATAGAAACAAAGAAAACAATACAAAGAATCAATGAATCAAGTTTGCATGGACATGTCTGCCCTACCTCAGGGCACATGTGAGTAAACGCAGGGAAAGGAGCAGGAGGACTGGTCCTGTGAAAGCCAGTGCCCAGCCCGGATTTCTGGGGTTCCCTGGGTTACTCCAGAGGGACAGCACACCACAGGCAGTCAGTGTCTCCACACTGATGTGTCCTTCATGTAGACACACCAATCCTCATAAGAACATGGATGGCTCTTTGGTGGCTCTGTATTTACCTAAAACCGCTACTCACTCTGTACCAGTTGTTTCCCTCACATCTACAGGTTGTGCAAAGATAGTGATCACATGAAATACAGACAGATACTCCACTATCTACTAGACATGGACCCTCACAGTGCAAAGCTGAGGGTCACTGGTTCCACTGATGGGGACAGTCACTGGGGGACTTTCAGCAGAGCAATTTACACTTTGCATGGTTTCTCTTTGGTGAGTGGCCTAGGGGCAGAAGAATCTAGACCCCCTCTTTCCCCAAACACAGCTGAGGGACCAAGAGGTCCAAGAGGTCCACAGCTGCCAGAGTCCAAGAGGACTAAAGTAGCCAAGGGCAGGCAGTGTCCACAGGGCACCAGGACGACAGATCTAAGAGACACTGAGAGGTAGCGTGGACTGCCTGGGTATGGAGGCACATCTGTGTACACAAGTGTACATCACATCAAGAGGACAGAGGTGCCAGGCTGGAAAGAACGACATTATGGTACTGTGCCCAAGACAACAGGCCAAATTTAAGACCTTGCACATGAGGAGATGCAATGACTAAAAGAGGGTTCCTGCCCTGCTGTTCTATGACATTTTAAGAACACTAGATAGGTAATGGACATTGGAAGTACGGCCAATGAAAGCTATAGAGACTGGCTGTGGATGCAGTTCAAATTGAGTTACAGTAACAAAATTATTACTGTTTTGAAAAGGTTAAACATCTTGTAAATAAAACATACCCTCATAGAACACGCATATATAAAGATCAAATTTTATTTCCTTGATTATATATAGAGAAATAATTTTATTACAGACCTCAATTTATCTAAGTATTATATTCAGTCAGAAGAGACTATATTAGGTATGAGTTTGGATTAGTCAATTTATTTCAGAAGGAGGAAGAAAGTAAGAAATGAAAGTTTATTTACTAGTTCAGAAACTTAAAGGAACATGGTTTTCTTTATGATTGGTATATTAAGAAAAGACAAGTTCAGAGTCCAACATCATTGGCTTCCTTCGGCCTATTAATACACAGGCTGACGCTAACACACAGGCTGACGCTAACACACAGGCTGACGCTAACACACAGGCTGACGTTAACACACAGGCTGACGCTAACACACAGGCTGATGTTAACACACAGGCTGATGTTAACACACAGGCTGACGCTCCCTGAGGAGAAAGAGGAAGGCGGAGAATAACAAGGCTATTGGAAAAGTCTGGAAAAAGAGGGATGCTTACAACTCTAAGTGCCTACATTAAAAAATTGGAAAGAGCCCAAATAAATGACCTAACACCCAGCAGAAGAGAAGAAATAGCAAAAAATCAGAGCAGAAATTAATGAAACAGAAACAAAGAAAACAATACAAAGAATCAGTGAATCCAAGAGCTGGTTCTTTGAAAAGTTAACAAGATAGACAGACCCCTAGTCCAGTTAACCACAAGAAAGAAAGAGCAAATCCAAATTAACAAAATCAGAGATGAAAGGGGAAACATCACAACAGACACCAGAAAGATACAGAACATTATAAGGGAATATTTTTAAAAACCTATGCACTACTAAATTTGAAAATCTAAAAGAAATGGATGGATATCTAAAATCACGGGAACCATTAAAGTTAAACCAGGAAGAGAGCAACAGTTTAAACATACTCATAATATATAAGGAAATTGAAACAGTTATATAAAGCCTCCCAACTAAAAAAAGCCCAGGCCCAGATGGATTTACAGCAGAATTCTACCAGACATTTAAAGAAGACTTCCAACCAATACTACTTAAATTATTCAAAATGATAGAAACAGAGGGAGAACTCCCAGATTCCTTCCACGAAGCCAGCATCACTCTAATATCCAAACCGCATAGACACAAAACAAAAAAGAAAACTCCTTATACCCATATTCTTAATGAATATAGATGCAAAAATTCTCATCAAAATAATTGGAAACCACATACAGATGTACATCAAAAAGATCATTCACCATTATTAAGTAGGCTTTATCCCAGAGATGCAGGGATGGTTCAATATATGCAATTCAATAAAAGTCATTAATCACATAAATGAACTCAAAGACAAAAACCACACTGTCATCTTAATAAATGCAGAAAAGGCCTTTCAAACATTCAACATGCATTTATGGTCAAAGTCCTAGAGGGAATTGGACTGGAGGGAACACACCTCAACATAATTAAAGCCATATATAACAAACCCACAGCCAACATCATTCTATATGGAGAAAAACTGGAAGCATTCCCATTCAAATCAGGAACCAGACAAGGCTGTCCACTATCTCCACTCCTTTTCAACGCAGTGCTTGAAACTCTTGCTAAAGCAATAAGACAGGAGAAGGAAATTAAAGGAGTACTAATTGGAAAAGAAGAGGTCAAACTATCCCTTTTTGCAGATGATATGATACTATACCTAAGAGATCCCAAAAGTTCCATCAGAAAACTCCTAGAACTGATCAACATTTTCAGTATAGTGGCAGGTTATAAAATCAACCTACCCAAATCAGTAGCCTTTCTATATATCACTAACAAGCAATTGGAGAAAGAATACAGGGAAATGCTCCCATTCATAACAGCTGCAAAAAAAAAAAAAAAATCTTGGAATAAATCTGACCAAAGACACCAGGAGATGGAAGGACCTCCCGTGCTTATGGACTGGAAGAATTAATATGGTGAAAATGACCATCCTACCAAAAGAAATATATAGATTTAATGCAATCCCAATCAAAATCCCCATGACATACTTCACAGAATTAGAAAAAAAAATCATCCTTAAATTAGTATGGAA